TGGCCACTAGCTGCTGTGGGCCTGCCCAGAGTGCAGGGGGCAGCATGAGGGGGCTGCTGCACTATTAATTAGCGCTACAGCCCCTTTGCTGCTTCATGCCTATGCTCCATACAGAGCAGTCTGACTTCAGAGTGCAAAAGCTGTAGTGTCATATAAGTGTCATATAAGAGTTTACAGGAACATTGATCTACTCAGTTTTTGGTGTTTGTGGTTGTTAGAGAAGAAAGCAATGGTTTGACCAAAGAATAAGTGTCCATTATTTCTCATACTCCAAAGTTCCAGGGCTGCCAACTTTTTCAGGTCAGGCTGGGGGGCAGTGTTTGGGAGTCACCTATTGGGTCGGATTAGGGGGTTGGTTTGATTTGGTTTGTTGTTGTTGTTTGTAGAAATATAGCAATTTTAGATGTCTGTTTACACAGCCACTGAAATTACATCTGGATTATTACTTATGAAAGTTGTAAGTTGCATCTTGTTTCTACATCAACACTACATATATTCATTTAACATAGAACCAATAATTTCTATATATTTTGATATATATAATATTTAATACAAATACAGTTTTGCTTAACTGACACTATTCAAACCTTTAGAGGAGCAAAGACTGAAATTTGGTATTTCTGCTTTTGTTCAGCATTGGTAATTTGTTGTCAGCTCTCTACTGAACTGGTCAGCCTGCTCCACAGTCCAATTACAGAGAATATAGACCGGTTAAAAAGAGTTAAACACAGTGACAACAACGGTTATCCAACATAGCACAATTATAAGGCGTACATGCTTGAAATCACAAGCATATTAAAGTTCTGTTGGTTGTTATTACTCCTGTTTTTCAAAGTTTTTATTCTTTTTTTTGTGTGCTCCAGATTTTTTGTGCTTTGATCGAAGAAAACATGCAAGGAAACATGAGGGGGGATGAACGTAATATGTGCGAAAAAGGTCGAGTGCCTGTGCTCCAGTGATGGTGAAAGTTTGTTTGAAAGAGTAAAGCTGTGCGAGAGAAGATAAAGGTTTGTCACCTATAGCGAGGTTCACCCACCCTCAAATTTGTCGTGCTCACCCAAAACAGTCTTGCTGCCGCTACTATGTGTAACACGCACAGACCGGCAGTGACTTACTAGCTAGCTGTCTCTTTCTCTTGTATTTAAGTAAAGCGCTGTAGCCAGTCCAGAGTGTTTTTTAATCAGTGACAACTAAGTAGTAGTAATACTTTATGCGTGTTCAGATGTATCGGCAGGTTGGTTTATAAAAATGCATCAAAATGTTGAGTGTGGCATGAGAACGTCCAAAGCATGAGAGTTGGCAGGCCTGGGTTTTCTTCATGAATCGGTGCTTCAGTAAATGATGGCAGCAGTAGTGACCTCAGTATTGTTAGAATTCTTCACTCTAGTGAAGCTGAAGCTGTGGCTCTTTGGTTTTCATTAAATTGTTCCTCTGCTCCCAGTAGTTGATGGGGATATTAAATAGCTTGACCCCTCTTTTAGCTCAGACCCCCCCGCCCCACACACACACACACTGCTAAGTCTATAAGATGTGTTCGTAGTCCTGTTTGAATGGCATGTGTCTACAGTGCACCATGCAAATGGTGCCATCTTTGGAGCTTTTAGCTGGTGTGCTGTTAACAGGGAAATGACATCCTGTAATTATATGTGTTTTTTCCCCATCACGTTTGCACGACAATAAAATCTGTTACATTTGTACGTCTCTTTTTACATCCTCTCTCTGTGATTTGTGTGCCATTAGAGTGCATCAGAGCATAAAAGCCTCTGTTTTTTTTTTAGAGCGAGTATGTGCAAACAAGACGCACAAACACAGTGGACCTCTGATTTAGAATTGATTTATAGATGCAGTTTGGGAGACTTTGGCCCAGCTGTGCTAACCTTGAAAAGTTTTGCTAATCTGCTTTCACTAATGGTCAGCCGATGTTATATACATTAAACAACGTTTTTTCATAGTTTTTGTTTTGTCAAAGAGTTTTGCCAGTACTAAATGCTGTAGTTAGCATTCTAAGCATATGCAGAGGACACACGGTTGGCTTCAAAAAGTGAGTTGATTTATAGGTGCAATTTGAGTGGCTCCTGTGCCAGCTGTGCTCATTTTTTTGTGTGCATGAGAAACTTTTGACAGTGGTGTTTCAGGAAAGAAGTTATGTTTTCTCACTGCATTTTGTGCTGTTATTTTAACCCAGATAGCAAACTGTTAAGTTGACTGAAGCAATGTCCTCATCTAATTTTGATCCTTAATTACTTTTCCACTCTGAATTAATATTGAAATAACATTGAAAATGTAACAAAATTTTGACATAACAAAAAGCCCACCTCAGTCTTTTTTCAACCCTTAAAAATCCTATTATTGCAGTAAAACACTGTCAAAGCCATCCTGCTGTTCTACCACCATACTTCACAGTGGGGATGAGGTAGTTTTCTGCATGGCTATCTTTGTGTCCACACCAAACTCACCTCTAATGTTTGTTGCAAAACCTCTATTTTGACCTCACCTGACCATACAACATGGCCCCACTGAAAGTTCATATTTCTTGCTTTTGTATGTGCTAAAGTAGGAACGTAGTAACAATTAGCTGCAGTGTGAAGCAGGTCATGACTTAGGCAAACCGTCATGAATGCTCTCTGGCTAAAGAAAACAGTGAGGGCAGAGCCACTGAGTAATCTATATAGTTCACCCCTTTATAGCAAGATACTAATGAGGGATGAGGGGTCCATTTAGTTCACAGTCTTAGTAACAGTTAGCTGCAGTGTAAGCTAGTCAGCAGTTGGCATTTCTTTAAGGTTGATGAATACATGAGTGCATTTCCAGTACCAAAACTTGCAATACTTCCTTTTAATTATTTGCTCTTTAATGGGCCAAACTGGCATTTCAAATTCTTAAATGAAAAATTTGTTGCCTATTTAAATAACATGAATTAAATAAAGTGCTACAATGAGAGTAATTAGCACAATGAGTCACGCATAATTATGCTACAACATTTTGGTGTAGGTGTAGCAGCAACATTCAAATACCGTGTGAGTGCACTCGCACAGTAAAAATGGTGGTGTTAATTAATTTTAACACTGCTTTGGAGCATATATGGTCCCGCTCCACAGACTGTACAGAATACACTGATAGAGTGTTGAGTTTCAAGTGTTAACCAGACACTGAATTGAGTTTAAGTAACACTCAGCAGTCTAACACTGCTTTAAACTGACACTCAAATTGGGTAATGTTAAATCAACTCAGCACACTAGCCAATGAGAAGCCCTGAGTGCCACAGTATTGTAACGCTCAATCAGTTCTGAGACAGATTCCGATCTTGGCCGCTTCTGATATGCATATATAAATAGTTTTGCAGTCATAGCTCTTTGAAACAAACAAAAAAATAGCATTTCTATTGTTTTGTCATTTCAACTGAAGAAGTCAGAAGTGCAGACTCCTGTTGATACAGAATGTGAATCGAACATCAGTGTAATACATTATGCAACTGACTGTGTAATGGCTTATGCAATTACATACTTATATTTAAATTATTTAAAAGCAGTAATAATTCTCAGATTGTAAGGATCAAAGGACCCTGTCTAAGTTTTTCTCGAGTGATTCTGCACTGCGTCTCGGTTGACATTAGGATTTGACTGAGTAGCTGTACTCTGAATTATATAAGAAATATAACTGAGACAAAAAGGCTTTTTTATTGTCTGTTCATGTTGTCCCCTGAGCATCCTGGTGAAGAGCGCAGCATCGCTTTAACCATGACACCAGAGATTAGCCACCCACCTGCAGCGCTTGTAGGCAGAAGCAGAGGAGAGGTTGAGTTAGCCATTGATTAGCACACAGGGAGCCATAAAGCTGAGGCAGTGCAATATCTGATAAAGCCTAATGGAGGATGGGCATTTTAAAGCACCCCATTCTTCTTTGTCGGGGTACATAATGCTGGCTTGCATACTTGCTTCATTTACATTAAACCTTGCTTACTCCACATGCAGCTTATTATGGAGATGCAGCCCTACTTTTCATATGAACCCCGCTGTGCTGTTGCCACTTGAGGTGGTCATATGGGAAGCGACTGCCTTTAAAGTCACCTGGAAATCAAAATGGACCTTTTTTACCTTGTTAGTTGATGTTCTTGGTCACATTAAGCACAATCTATTGTGGCATATCATTCAAAAGACAATTTTTTTGTTTTGCCCTGTCCACATTTTAAAAAGTAAAGAAAATACACATTTGTTCTATTATTCTGATTTTTGGCAGACTTGGATGTGTGGACAGACTTGTAGTATGGACTTTGCATTGGATGATTGCGTAAGGCAAAGGCCAAGTAAATGACCTATCCATGCTCCACCCACAAATGCATTCCTTTATGCCAACTGTTGCAAGGTTGGACAAGCCTTACAGAACATCCATATTTGATGTAGACTTACTGTTTCAGAATCTGACCAAATGGGCTACAGGTCAAATATTATCTTATAGAAGTTATCTAGTGTAATGAGGTCATTTCCTGCTTTTGTAGGTGCATAGGTGCGTAGAAACATAGTAACAATTAGCACCAGCGTGAAGCAGGTCATTACTTAACACCTGGAATGACACAGTTATTGTAGGTGTTGTTGTGAGTAAAAGTTTCTCAAACAATTTTATAGCATTGTTGGAACTGACTGTTATATAATATATTAAAATTTTCAGTCATTGAAAAAAACATTCCTTTGATGAAAACAGATTCCTAATTTCTTACTAGGAATCTGCATTTGTAAGTAAGAGATATTTTATCTTAATTTCAATTTGATAAAATGTTACACTCCCCAAAATCCCATCTAATATTATATTGCAGTTGTAGCATACTTTGTTTACCTCACAGCCCTTGTTACAAAAATATTGTCAATTGGCAAAAGTACTGTTCCATGTGACACATTTACAATGACCTAATGAGCTGAATAGCATGTTGGAAAATGTGTTTGTTGTTTCTATTTCTTCAAATAAACTATATGTGTGATTTAATGGTTATTGTTGTGCTTGTGCAGGACTTTGAGCTGAACAGTGAATTGAAGATGGGTGTAATTGGCCTTCTGGAGGAGGTGCTGAGAGATCCAGACCTGCTCCCTCAGGAGCGAAAAGCCACCGCAAACATACTAAAGTAGGTCCCTTGCATACTGCAAATGTTTTTCTTTCCAGCTGTAAAGAGTAAGACTCCCTTGAAGTCACCCTTGAAGAAGTCTTGCTTTGGTGTCTCTCTCTAAGTTTCAGCTTCAGTTTTTCTCCCTGTTTGCCAGTGCCCTTTCTCAAGACGATCAGGAGGATGCTCAGCTGAAGATAGAGGACATCCTGCAGATGGTGAGCTGCACTCTTTTCACTGTGTTATTAAGTTATGTGATTAAATGTACATTTTCTTAACCTTTTTACCTTTCTGTAGCCTTTTCATTCGGTGTAGACACCAGCATCTACACTTTAAGAGAAAGTTGTTAACTGCTCTGGCGGTGGTGACGCAAAGGGCCTTGTGTTGTTAATAGTACATCAAATGTGTTGAAAGGATCCAGCAATATTACTGGCAAAGATAAGATGTCCACAATGCTGCCTCAGCCTCTGCTGTTTGCGTTGGATGCAATGTAGTAGTTTGTGAATGAGCGTCAGACCAGTTGAAGTCATTAAAAGCTTGTTTTCCTAATCAGAAACATTTGTTCAGTCAGAGTAACAATAAGAGGTGACTGACGTCTGAGGTATTTTACTATATAGTGGGGTGATTTTGTTTTATGTCTTATGGGTTTGTTTTGTATCGAGGGCCAACTGCCTGTTGACTAAATCTTTTTCATCACCTAAAAAAATAGATATTTAAAGTGATAACATACTCCTAAATCTGTGTGTTGTAGTTTTTCAGTTCCTTCAGTGAAATTAAGACCTGTCTCCAAACATTACTGGAGGAGTCTGTGAGCCTGTTAGCTATCAGCAAAATATAGTTACAGGAAATAACCAGTTACAAAGAGACAACTAACAGCATCTAGAGGTCTTATTTTTTAAATAATAATTTCAAAAAAGTTCTATAAATACTTATGTGTGACTGGGAAATAATTAAGAACACAGGAGAGAAGTTTGTGATTTGGTTACAGCAAATGCAGTAGATCGAGCTGAGAGACTGGAGAATAGTCTTTAGGGAGAGAAATAGAGGGAGTGTGAAATAATAATGATAATAAATTTACACAGAGTGCATATTATGAACATATTATTAGAATTTGTCACTGTATTGTCTTGTTTTATTTAATATTGTTTTATTTAATGACATGATTAAACAATAAATACTTTTCTACATGTAGCCCCCCCAGTATAGCATATAAGTTGTAATAGATAAGTTGAAAAGGTGACAGCAGCATCAAACGGGATTGTATATGACAGAAAAAAATGTATACAGAATTACAAGTGGTTTAACCTTAAATAGCACACAGTTCTGTGCAAGTCCAAGTCAGTCCAAGGCACCAGGGTACGTTACACTTTTCTTGGCAATAAGTGTATTTATGCTTGTACAAACACCATATATCATTAGAATAATTCCAGAAAAGTTATGACAAGTAAAATGAAGAAGAAATATTCAAGTTTCTGCACTAGTTTTAGGTAAATATTCAGATTTAAGCAAATTTGTGACATTGGCCAAGTTAAGGCCTTTGTACAAAGAAATCAGACCTTTTTTAGTCTTACTTTTAGTCCACTGAAGCTTGTGTTCAGACGACTCAGGTTGATTTAATCTGCTCATCAGAGGCTTTTGTCAGCTCAAGTGCAGGCTGTCATTAAAGCAAAAGGGGGACATAGGAGATAGTAAGAGATTCTGAAATTCCTGTGAATGTTTCAGAGATTTCACTTTAATTGTTATGCTGATAACATAATTTGTAGTAGAAAAAAACTTTGTATTAAATTAGAAAAGAATGCAAAATTAAAGCATTTTCACTAGTGTTTGCAGACATTTGGACTCCACTGTATATAAAATAAAAAGTAAGAGTTTCTTGTTTTAAAAAAATAGTTTTTTGTGACTTACTTTGAAGAACAAAGTTAGGTTCCAGATTTCTCCTGCATGCCCCAAACCATTGCATGGATTTCATAAATTACATCGCCAGCACACTTTATTTAACTTAATGAAGATTGTTTAGCCAAACCAGGTATTGGATTATACTACTAATTATACTGGGCTGCCATGAGAACAGGTTTGAAAATGGTTAAACAAACACATTTTCTCAGGAGTCTAAAACTTGCACAGTACTATATATGCACTCAAATGCAGCTGAATACACATATGATATAACTTCTATAAAGTCTGTAGTCTGTAATGAGTTACAGATGCGCACCATCTGTCGTAAAGGGTTAAAGTTCACATTCCTCCCAGTAGACTTTGACTCAGTGAAAGTCATGAAAGTCGTCCAATACATTATCGATGAATGATTATGTAGCTTAAGAGAAAAATGAGGGCAACATTGAGAGTATCCAAGTGTTCACTTACCCCCATAGTGCAGCCTGAGACGCAGTGTCAGGCTGAATTAGCAATTCAGACAGCAGATCTCGCAGAGCAGCAGGGCCATAATTACAACTTTAGGCAGCGAGACAGAGCCTGTTGCTGCTGCTTTCTTCCATCGTCCTCAAGTTGCGCAGCAAAGGCAGCGCTCCCTTTGGGACAGTTCCCAGCAGCACAAAAGATTTTTTTCTCCCTGTTTTCTTTTTCTGAGTCTGCTTAACTCAGTATTACAGTTCAAAGCCTTCCTGCTAAGCTTGCTTCAGTGGCAAAACAACTATCAATGTATCAGCACAAATGTAGGCTATACCTATATATCTATGTTATGTGAGCTGCTTATGTGTTATGCAATTAGCTCCAGTTCAATATCTCTCATAAATATGTAAGACTTTGCTCTTTTAAACTCATAGCATAATATCAAAGCGTTATAGGAAGTGATTATCATGCTTTCATCTTTTTCCATTGCTTTCATGAAACACTGTGCAGACACAGGGCAAAGGCAGAAATATGCGCGCTCACGCTGATCTGTAGCGCAGTGAGCTCTGGCACTAGCAAATCGGGATTACTGATTACAAACACAGCATGTACTGTCACAACTTGGTGTGTGTTTGTGAGTGTGTTTATGCAGGTATATGCACTGAACTGCAGTGTGGGGACTCCCTCATGCCATGCTTGCATTCTCACCTTCTGTGTTAATTGAAATTTTTCTATGCAGAACACAAACCCACATACACGGATGGTTAATTGGTGTAATTTAATTATACATTTGCCTTCATTTTATTGCGTTGTATAATTTTATGACATTGTATGATTACAGTGTTACAGCTCAGTGTGTACAGCTCAGTGTGCTCCTGTGTAGATAACTGAATTAATTTCAAGCACCAGGTGTAATGTCAGGTTTTTAGCAAATGGTTATTGGACAAATATCTGCAGTATTTTAAAGGCAAAGTACACTCTTGATATGGAGGTTCCTTAAGGGTTCTTTAGTGAAGGCAAGGGTTACATATGGATCATACAGCCAAATTGGATCAAAACATTGAGTTCAAAACACATTTGGGACTTTTAACTGACCTGGACTTTAGACTAAAACCCTTTTGCTTTGAGTGACCCTATATCTTAATTATGTTTGCTTTACTAAAACAAATGATTGAACATTTTGTCACAACCACAACAGTCATAACACTACCAAAACTTTACCAGATGTTCAGTAGTGACTGTCTCGGTTGTGACAGTTTTAGCTAATTTTGAGCAGAAATTAAAAAACTTTAGCCACTACATGACTAACAAACACAGCTTTGAACAGTTGTACACACATGAAATCATATATTTATTAAAAGATTTTAAAAAATTGCTTGGTTGCAGAAAATGTGAGTTTCAGTAGTGACAGTTCTTAATTTTCCACACTCATTTTCAGACTTTGGGACACATTTACTTCAAAATAATGGGATGTAATAATGGGTGCTTACCATGTGGCCATGAGCGACAGGGATGCAGTCTCACTTCCTGCTCTAAAATGCAGGGGTGTGGTCAAAATAAGAAAACATGGAACAGCATTTTTAATAAAAGTTTTTTTTATTTAAATTCTTTCAAAATGCAGTTGAAAGACTAAAATCTATAAATTAATCTGTATAATCTAATAAAAGAGCTTTAAAAAAATGTCTGTGTGTTCAAAAAGTATGTACTATTTTCACAAGTTGAAATTGAGGGTTAAGGTTTGGGACAGCCACTTCCAAATTGAAAGAACCCTATAAATGATTTTGTACATATTTAGGTTAATATTATCGCGATCAATGACTTGAATTTAAATAAATCATAACATAATTCTTGTAAAGAATCAAAAGGGATAGTTCTAGTTCTGAAATCTGATTGGCTGAGCAATTGAGTTATTGTTCTCTGGAAAAGTGCTCTCATATGCTACTATTTTTAGATAACCAGTTACCTGTTGCACCATACAGTTGTACAGTTAAAAAACTTGAACAGTGTAACTGACTATTAAATAGGAGCTGATTTTTATTGAATATTAAATACATTTAAATAATTTTTTTTATCCCTTTGGACAATTGTTTGTTTGTCGGTTAATAGAACAGTTATTTACATCCCTAATGACAAAAACTGTTTGACTGCTTAACTTGTCCCTTGTATATTAAAATGATTTTTCTCTGTGATGGAGAACCTGTCAATCTTTAATGAGTCTGTTGTTGTATATAGCACCAAACAGGGTTCTACTATTGCTATAGGTCACAGAACCTTTTTGGTACTATATGTAACTCTATGTACTGAAAGTGTAGCTTAATCTACAGATTTTTTTGTTGTGCATGTGCATATAGGCTTATAGGTTAAACTTAGAACTGAGCACATGGGTACTGTGAAGTATCTGAGTGTGTTCTGTGGGTGTTTGTACACTGTGTGTGGGTCTGCAAGTGTGTGTTGGCTTATACTTTGTGTGTGTGTGTGTGTGTGTGTATTTGTGTGTGCTCTTCTTTTGTAGGCTGAATGCCCGAAGGCAGAGTGCTTTGAATCACTCTCAGCAATGGAGTTAGCTGAGCAGATCACTCTCCTCGACCACATCATTTTCAGGAGCATTCCTTATGAGTGAGTGACCAATGATAAGACCCCTGAAAAAGATATAGTTTTTATCACAAAACAGTAGAGATGGTACAGTTACCAGTTTTAATGATATACAGCCATATAAATTATTTTAATTAGTTGTAATGGGCAGAGGGGTTAGATGTAACAGTCACTTAAACTCTAGTAAATTCATGTAAACACAATTCAATACAGAATTCTATGTTGTTTGAACCAGACGATATTTCCAACCTAAATACATAAAAATATCTAAATATGAAGAGTGAAAATAGGCTGGCAAATTTATGTATGACTACAAATAGAAAAGCAAATATATACACACTAAAATCGAAGTTTATTTTATTTAGATGACATCTGTATTATGATTTTAATGAATCTGAAAAAAAAATGTAAATATGGAGTTCTCTCATTTTTTATTTTGAGCGTCTTGAGCACCGTGTGGAGGCTGTACTTTAGCCTGGCTAGCTCTCGCTGTAGGTTGTTATATGCTTTAAAATGGTGCTACATTACAGCCACCAACAGGGTGATTAAAATAATGCATGGATTATGTGACTAAAAACACTGAAAAAGTTACTTTTATTGAAACGGTCTTTGGAATGAATCTGGGTAAATATGTTTGATTGCTGTTAAAATTGGCAGATGATGTTGGTATCTGTCTGTCTGTCTTTCTGTCTCAGGGAGTTTCTGGGCCAGGGCTGGATGAAGATGGACAAAACTGAGCGAACCCCCTACATCATGAAGACTAGCCAGCATTTCAATGATGTGAGGCCAATGAGAGACTGCAGTTTGTTCTAGAGTAAACTAAGTTTTAAGGTATTGAGTAAATGTATGGTACATGCATTATTATAAGGATGCATTTCTTTTGATCTCTTGCTGTAGATGAGTAACCTGGTAGCATCTCAGATTATGAGCCACACAGACGTAGGCTCCAGGGCCAGCTCCATAGAGAAATGGGTGGCGGTGGCTGACATTTGCCGCTGCTTGAACAATTACAACGGTGTGCTGGAGATTACCTCTGCCCTGAACCGCAGCGCCATCTACAGGCTAAAGAAGACATGGGCTAAAATCAGCAAACAGGTGAGGGGCTTCACTTAAAACATGGTAATGTTGCTCTGTGATGTGTCTGCCTGCATGATCAATGTGATGGTCTGGCTTTCCCCCAGTAAAAGTCATGAAGCAAATTTTTATAAGTTTATTACAGACTGTGTTTATCATAGTTATTACAGTTGTAATACTACAAGCGATGATTGTGGAACAGCTAGTGCTGAGCAAAGCAGAAAAATACATGACATCTACATAAGCCAACAAGTGTCAGTGGTCATAAATCTTGCTGAGGTGAAAATACATCAAAATTGAAAAGCTTTTCGTAAAGTGTTACTAAATTTGATAAATATTTTAGAAAAAATACCTCAATAGTGATAAATGTGATGATAATTATAAAGAAAAAGAAAACACTATTAGTTTTTTGTTGCAGTATTTATAAAAAATGATTGTAAAACAGTTAATAAGTGGTAAATAAATGCCGTGCGTTTGGTTCATTAGGTGCTGCGTTTGTAAGTTTCAGTAACAGGCGATTGTTTCATAGCATCATCAATAGTTTGTGGTATGAATGTGTTGCTGGCTTCTACCTGCGCTTTCCTGACTTTTCCCGCATTTTCCTTTGTACCAATTGGTGGTATTATTTTTTATTCATTATTCTTTTATCTAAATAATCAACCTACCATTTAGAGTTAATTAAAGTGAATGTATGCTCTGTAAAAAAGCTAACTCTGATTGGCTTTTCACAGAGAGAAACAGAGAAAGAGACTTAGCCTGTTCGAGTTTTCATAAGCTATTTTCCATTTGCCTTTTTCCTGAACTAAGGTTACTTACCATGAGTTCAATTTAGCTGCAATAAAATTAGTGACAATATCAAAATAATGATAAGTGAAATGGCAGTATCGGTGAAACTGAGCACCCAGCACTAAGAACAGGTCACAGTAACTAATATCCTGTGTGACGTGAGTTGACCAGGGTATGACACAAATACTGGAGCACTCAAAGGATGCAACATGTTTTTTTGCAGGGAGCAGATTAGGGAATAAAAACACCATAATGCTCTGGACTTAGTTTGGCTGGATTTGTTTCTGACACTATGCCCTTTTTTGGTCTCTGTGCAGACAAAAGCTCTCATGGACAAGCTACAGAAGACAGTGTCATCAGAGGGACGATTTAAAAACCTGAGAGAAACCCTGAAAAAGTGAGACTCTGATAACGACTCTAACTCTTCAGAAACTGGCTTCATTCTATAACACAGTGCCTTATTTCTCTTTTGCTTTTTGTTCATCCTGCAGCTGTAATCCACCCTGTGTCCCTTATCTGGGGATGTACCTAACAGACCTGGCGTTTATTGAGGAGGGAACCCCAAACTTCACTGAAGAGGGTCTGGTGAACTTCTCCAAGATGAGAATGGTGAATTCAGACATTTTTAACTTGCTGTATTGATATCTCTGGAATCTGGTGGTAGTTGGTGCTATAAACACTGTCTTCTCTACCAACAGATATCTCATATCATTCGTGAGATCAGACAGTTTCAGCAGACGCCCTACAGAATAGATCACCAACCGAAGGTGAGAAAAACCCAATAGACGTTCCCTGCCTTCACTTAATGCAGTTACACTGGCCCATCAGCCTGTACACTGGCATCTACTATGTGCAGCAGCTTGAATTAAAAATGCTGGCAATGAGTAAATAACTGGCGATGACGCAATTTTTTCCGGTTTCAGATTTGGATTTTAAACATTGCATTGCAACACTGCATTAACCTACAGATTAACAGACAAAAGAACATATAATCATAAAAAGTTATGATGTGCTTCTGTACGCTTAATAATTTATCCTCCTATTGCTGTTGGCGGTTACGTCATTAGTAATGATAATTGATAGAGATCCATTGGCAGCCATAAATCCATCCATGTTGCCATCCATCCATCCAGCCATGTTTCACAGTGGTGGTATGCTTTAGACTAGTGTTCTCTGTCTTGGTCCTGAGTGCCACTACCTTTCACATTTTCACCTGCTCCCAGCACACCCGATGCAGCTAATTCATTATCAAGCCTTTCCTAAGGTGACCTGGTTGTGTTAGATGAAGGAAAGTTCTATAGCATGCAGGGCAGTGGTACTCCCGCACCAGAATTGAGAAGAATTACTGCTTTAGGTCATTAGCAGTCCCTTCTTTTTCTCGACACTTTTTCCCACCACTCTGGTACAAATGAACATTCACATCAAGTCTATCAGACTTTAATGCAGACCTCTATAAAGGTTTTTATGTACTTTTTAGTGAACTGTAACCTGGCCTTTCCATTCTTGGAGCTCATCTGTGGCTTAGATCTTATGATAAATCCTCTGAGGTCTCTCTTTATGATACGTCTGTTTCTCTTCATGACTGAATGTGTTCTGTGATCTACAGTTATGGTATTTTAGTATTTCTGAGGTCACTAGTGTTTTTTTGCTTCTTAATGATGTACTAAACAGTTGATTTTGACACACACTGTGTGTGTGTATATATATATATATATATATATATATATATATATATATATATATATGCAAACGTTTGTTAGCCTTTTTACATATATCCACCTAATCAGCCTACACTTCAGTGCTGCCCATTCTCACTAAAGTTAGAAGTGAATATAAGTGAGAGGGTTTCAGCCCAGACGTTGTGAACATATACAGTGATGTGCAAAACTTTGGGCACCTCTGGCCAAATGACATATTTTGTTAGTTTTCTAAGTAAATAAGTAACACTAGAGACTTCTGCACATTTTAATGCACAATTACTGTTTATTTGCTGATTTTAACCTATTGGGGAAATGTCACCTGCACAAAAGTTATGGCACATTTTATATTTTGTATTTTATTTTTTCCTATGTTAAATTAAGCAAATAAAGAGAAATATGTATGAAATGTCAGTGCCTGCTTCACTGACACTGACACATCTTTGGTCTTCATGTTCAGGGAAAACAGACTTCAGATACAAAAGCCACATCTGGAATCAATTCTAGACCTTTTTGTTAGCTCTCTTACGCATGAACTACCAATTTAAAGACACAGAGCTGGCCAAAAAACAACTGAGCAGCCAGTTGGCCAATTATTCATCATCTTCTGAAATGGATGAATGTATAAAAAGGGCTATAGTTCCTTTATGGTTCATGCAATGTAAATGTACATTCAGTTGTATTTATATGCGTCCCAGGGGCGTTCCATCCAGGCAATGGCCTGTTAAACTCCTTTAAATCTGCTGCCAGAGGAGTTACAACACACGCATGTCCTCATTGGCCACAATCAAACATGTCAGCTTGTAGAATCTGAGCTTTCTTTGTTCTTCCATGTTTTCTATTGGCACTATTGATGAAAGAAGGAACTAGCCACTATTGATGAAGTTTATCATTGTATGTAGTATATTTGCTTGTTTAAGAAGGTAGTTTGTGAGATGAACTGTATAAAAAAATCTGCGGAATTTCAGATTTTTTTGATCACATTCTTTAAATATAGGCAAAAATAGCCACTTTTAGCATCGGCCTTAAAGGGTTAAACAATAACTTGCCACTACCCTATTACTTTTAGGGAATTTTCACACCTACCTTGTTTGCTGCAGACTGATCAAACTTCTGCATTAGTACACTTAGTTTTGACAAATGTGAATACTTCTCCTATACTTGGGTGCATACCAAAGAACTGAATCATGGACTGGCGAAAATTGCAGGTCTTGATCTGCTTCCAAGTAACCTCTGGTTCAGTTTGCTGTTGGTGGGAACCCAATTTTACAAAGGTCCTCACTAGTTAAGGGAACCCAAGATTAGAGCATGCTTTTGTCTTCTTCTAGCATGCCTTTCAGAGCTGCACTGTCCTCATAATCTGCCTGTATTAACATTTGGGCCATGACAGACACTAAACAGATGAGCAATAAATTAATAGCGCCTCATTTTGACACATGGAACATGGAATGTATTTTTGCCAAAGCATCAGTGACTTGATTGATTAAATTCAAATACACAACTTCAATCCTGGAAGGTCGGTGTCCAGCATAGTTTGGTAGTTCTGCTCAAACACACTCATTAACAAGGCAATTAATAGATGAATTGAATCAGGTGTGTTTGAGGAGGGAAGTCACCAAACTGTGCTGGACACCAGCCCTCCAGGACCGGAGCTGTGCACCCCTGATCCACTCAATCATAAAGAAGCAGAGATTTATTTTAATTGATTTGGCATTAAAAGAGGCAATCGTGAAAGTAACAGATGAGAGCAGTGTAAGCACTTATGTGTATTAATTAACTTTGAATTCACTTTAGCCATTGCTAACTCTATAACTTTGCTAGCATTGCAGACTTTAGAAAAGAAGCTATGTGTGAAAACAGTCTTAGACTGCATTGCAGCTAATAATGAACAAACACAATAATGCACTTCTGCCACTGCTGCCTCTTGTGCATTGCATTTCTGCCTTTATAACTTTGTTATATTCTGTTTTGCTTCATTTTCACATTTTGTTCTGATCCAACTGCACCATATCTAGGTCACTCAGTACCTGCTGGATAAGGCTTTGATCATGGATGAAGACACGCTGTATGACCTGTCTCTGAAGATTGAGCCCAGGCTTCCTGCTTGAACCTCAGCCTCTGCAGCAGGCAGCCCACTTCCAAATGTGCTTCTCTTTCACGAGGACGTGGTTTCTGTCTCGCATTTGGTGCCGGAGTTAGGACGTGGGAGGGGAGAGTTGCCAGTGTGGAGACTAAAGAGTGAATGAGTGAGGAGAGGAGACAGAAAAGTCATCATTTTTTCAGCGCTTCAAGTGAAAATTTCCTCAGTTGAAGTTCCAGTGAAGTGAGGCTGAATGAGACATGAGCTAAGTGCACAGCCACTGTCTTGCAGGTCGAGGGTCAAGTGAGTGTTAACGGTCAAAGCAATGAACAGAGGAATATGTAACTAAGAGAATGAAGAACGTTGATGTGAAAAGAAGAAATGTAGCATGTACAGTAGTAGAACTCTATGCCAGAACTTACACAGTGTGTTGTGGTAAGGATTTGCTGTAGAGGCTCAAGATCTGTTCTCTAATAGGTTAATGATGGTGACTTGGTGCATGAACTAGACTGTGGGTTTTCTCCATGTTTTTTGCCTTCCTTAAGTTCGTCATTAGCCATTCCCAATACATTTGCCACAGGACAGTTACAGCAAACCAAAACAGATTATTATTTTAATGGGTGAGTTTGAAAAGAATCCAGAAGTACAGTAGCTTTTTACAGATTTATCCAGTTAGAGAGGATATTTTATGCAGATTGTGCAGCTTATTTTTCATAATGACCCCCCGAATGTTGTTATAATATTGAAATGATAAAGAAAAGGAATTTATGGAAAATGGGCAATTATTATTATTAAATGCTTATAAGGTGCCTTTTTGCTAGTACATGAAAACCAATGTCGCAACAATCGTTACATAGGATATTTAGCCATTGTAGCAAACTGATATCAGACTTTTCAAACTGATGTCCAATTATATTAAAAGTTATAGAAAGAAATATTTATTCCAGCAGTCTAGACTTGGATTGCAGTCATAGAAGTAAAGCCAGTTAAAGTTGAAGATATACTGATACCTGACAAAGTAAAGGAAAAACCAACATAATATGTCTTAGTAAGATATTGGGCCACCACAACCCACCAGAACAGCTTGCACCTTGGCATAAATTCTACAAGTCTCTGTAACTGTACTGGAGGTAAGGAACACCATTCTTCCTAAAGATATTTCCAAAATTGGTGTTTTGATGATAATGGTAGAGAGCGCTCTCTAACACATTGTTAAAAAAATCTCCCATATGAGTTGAATTGCTTTGAGATCTGCTCAATGCGAAGGCCATAGCATGATTTACCTCGTTTTCATATTTACCAAAACGTTCAGTGACCTCTCATGCACTGTGGCTAGTACATTATCATCTAAGATGAGACATCTTCCTTCAGAATAGAAAAGTTTCATCATCATCAGAATAACTTTGTATAGCTTTGCAGTGACCTTTCTCTCTAAAGGGACAAGTGGAACCAAACAATGCCTGCAAAATGCCCCCACAGCATAACAGAGCCAGCGGACACCCTTCACTGTAGGGCTCAATCATTCATCCTGTACAGATGTCTTGGTATATGCCACACATGCACTCGTCCCCTTGTGGAGCATTGAATGTGCACCACAATTTCCAGCCCTATTTACTGATGTCTCTCCAATAGATCTAAATATAAATGTCATTTTAGTGTTTAACAGTCTTTAGCCAAGTCTGAAACTTACTGCTGTGCTATACATGCTATACTAATGAATGCACTTCTAATGTTAGTGTACTCTTTTTGACATTGTATTTAGTATGGTAGTATGTGGTTTGGTAACTGAAGCTCCTGCCATTAGTGCCCCAATAATGAATCCTTTTTCACGGTCACTTAGGTCTTTTCCTCTTGACAACTTGATCCAAAATCAAGGTCACCATGGTAGGATGTTAAGTGTATCAATACACAGTAAACAGTGCAATGTATAGAAGCATCTGAACTCATTTTGTTGCTCCAGTCATTTATTCTGGTTTTTCCTTTAGTTTGTTGCCCATCTGAATATGATTTTGCAGCAAAGTATGTCCATCAAAAAAAGTAAAAAAGTAAAAGTAAAAAAAAAAGTTTACCCAGAAAATTCTTGAAAAGTAAGTTTAGAATAGGGTCAGCTTGTAGCAGTGAACACAAACAATGCTTTGATCATATTTTGCACTCATAAAGTATCAGAGCTAATACCATATTGAAAGTCAGTAATCCAAGGACGTACCTTTGGCTAATCTTACTGGTGAACTTGTCTCTAAATGCAGAATGGACGCTGAATGATCTTCATCACTGCCAGCCACCTCCTCAATGTAATTGGTTGACTCCTTACACTACAGTATAAGCTCAAACCTTTCTATCAGTTTGCATGCAGAACAAACCATGTTTGCATGCTGGAAAACTACATTGCAAGAGATGTTTTTTTGTGTTGATGTTTCATAGCTGCTGTATAGTATCCTTTTTTCTCAAAACCTCAACAGAATGATTGATTTTTCATTGGACTGCACTTTTTTCCACTCCTAGGGTCATGAAAGCTGGAAATTTGATATGCATTTTGTTGGCAGAGAACTGTCAAAACTGGCCATCAATATATATCTACCACTGTGCTGTATGAAGACAATGATCATTTTGTCTGACAACTTTATTCGGCTAGATTTATTTCTCCTCTTGTGTGGATATATACATTAAAGGTAGTGGTTTGTTTGAGGTGGGAGCAGGTCCGCAATGGGTGGGTTGCACTTTCAGCAATGTAGCGTTGCTTACCTGAGTGTTTAATAGTAGTATTTATTTCTTGATGTATTTATTTGACCCTTTTCTGTATATAATATGTCACTTATGGGTTTTCGTTTTGTGATATTTTTTTAAATGTAATACTTTGGTTTGGCAAGCACTACTAGTGTACTGTTCCACTTTGCAAACTAGGCAAAAGAAATGTAGCATATCAGATTAATTTTCAGTCCCTTTGTCTTTTTTTTTTTAATGAATTCAGTGTCCAGTAGTAATGTGCACAGAGCATTGCTGTTGTGCGCTGCATGTTGTTGCATGTCCAAGCAGGATTCCTCATGTGAAATGCTTTTTGTATGATGTCGATACGATTTGTCCTCTTGCTATATATTTATTTTTTGCTTACTGGTTCTTTCAGAGAATGTATAGCTTCAGCACTCCATGCTTTCATTTCAAATAAAAATGAACAAGTGAATCATGGGGCGTCTGTTCATCCTCAGTGCTATGTGCAGGTGCTTCCACCTAGTGGTTGAAAAAGAAAACTGCATTTTCCCGCTTAATATTTAATTTCAGTTCACACCGTCAATGTAACACATTTTACAATGTCATTTGTATTTTAAAGCGTCATTGAAGCCTCATTAAAACTTAATCATGTGAATACAGACAGTATGTAATGTGCAATGTATCTAATATGAACTTGTCCTAGAGCTGCCCTCAGTGTACCATTCAGATCGAACAGTCTTTTGGCTTTTAGCAGAACTATTTATTCCCAGCCAGGGCAAGAGACACTGGCATTTCTTGGCTCTGTGACAGCAATCCGAGGCAGGACATGTAACGTTTGAACGCGCCCTGCAACCTTTGCTGCCTCAGAGCAGCCTGTGATCTTTAGAAGACGCATGGTAAATGCCACATTGACCCTAGTGCTAAAAATGAACACGTGCTGAGCTTAAAAATTCAGATCTTCTCAAAAATGTATTTGTGAAATTGAGCTAGAGTACTGTGCAAAATCAGAGAGCACCTTTTATTTATCTGATTTCCAATCAAAACAAACATTAAGTTCAAGTTATTCATTTTTCACTGTCTGGAAAAAAGCAAAAAACAGAAAATTACGCAGAAACTTTAACAAAATATAATAATTTTCAGTATTTACTCAGTACATGCCTTGCCTTTATTACAGCTTCCATTATTTTCAGGAGACTTGCTTTCAGTTTTTCAAAGAAATCTACAGGTATATTTTTCCACACCTCCAAAGTTAAGTCTTGGAAGTTGGTTTCATTTTCTACCTCTCACAATTCAAGTAATCCCAATCACATTCAATGATGTTGAGGTCTGGACTATGAGGTGGTCAGTCCACTGTTCAGAGAACACCAGCAGCTTCTTAGATTTGCAGATGTTCTTTTTTGCAATTTTTTTTCTCAGTAACAGCTTCTTGACAACTACACATCCTTTCAGACTCATAGTGTTGAGTTGTCCTCTCACAGTGGAAGGATGGACAGAAACACCTGTGGATTTATTCAGAACTGAAGCAAGAGTCAAGATAACTTGACAGTTTATCTGATGGTGACAGTTTTGGTGGTCTACTAGGTCTTGCATGGTTGTTATGAGTCCTGTTTTCTTTTTTAATCATTTTTGTGATCTCCAGTTTAGCTCTTGTTTTTTCACTTCTTTTACTTTGACATTTCCCTTCATGCAGTTGATTATTGTATGTGTAATCTCTTCAGAAAACTCCTGAAAAATGAATAACTTGAACTTAATGGCTGTGTTGGCTAAATAAATAGAGGGTGGTCTCTGACTTCTGCACAGTGTTGTATGTAGCTGTAGCTTTAATTAAGGCTACATTTTAAATGGCAGACGTTTCTCTCTCTCTCTCTCTCTCTCTCTCTCTCTCTCTCTCTCTCTCTCTTTCTCTCTTTCTCTCTCTCTCTCTCTGTGTCTTTCTCTCCTCTCTAATCCATTGGAGGAAGAGAGGGATGAAAGCGTCTGCCCAGCAGGGACGCTGGTATTAAGCTCGATAATACCAAAGCTCTCAGGTTTCTCTTGCGCAAAGCACTAACCAGTTTAACCAAAGTGTAACCTTCAGCTACACACTGCCTACATGGCAGGAGCCCATAGCCACATGTACATAGCCTATATTGAACATTATGCATATATACATTCCACATAAATGTTACTGAACTTTGCCGTTCTGATAGTGTTTCATTAAACAACCCATGTATATATCTATATCTTTACTCTCTGTCTATCTTTACTATCTATCTATCTATATATACGTGTGTGTGTGTGTATATATATATATATATATATATATATATATATATATATATAAATATTTATATATATATACATATATATATATATATAATATTTGTACTGTTTTATATATATATATATATATATATATATATATATATATATATATATATATATATACACATATATCTGAAATGTACAAAGACCTATCCAAGAATGTGTTATTGCTGTGGTTGACTATGGCCAATGCAACAGCATGTAATATACACATACCTACATGCATATCTTCGTATGTATGTAGCCACACGTAGGAGAGGTCAGCCCTATAGGAGTGGAAAGGCCCAGAGGTTTTGACCGCTCTGTCAGGGAGAAAGCTCAAGGGCAAAGCGTCTGGTAGCAGGGAGGTGCTGACGGCCCTCACATGCTGACGGCAGAAATTGGATTGGCTGCTGGGATAAGCTCTTATTGGTAGCAGTCTCACTCCACAGTGCACTACCTGCTGGACTGTGTGACTGGAACTCATTCCCCTCTCTCCACTCTCTCTACAGTGAGTAACTTGTAAAGCTTTAATGACTACACAAGTTTATTTTTTTGCTGCTTTTTTGTTTGCATTTTTTCAAATGTACACATACATAAATATTAATAAGATTATTTATACATAAATGTAACTGATGGTAAAACTAGTAGGATGAAGGATAATGTCTAATTGCTCTGTGCGTTCAATGGATAAAATTATTTTTCACTGTTTGTAAAACTTAACAAATAATGTAATATTTAGGTAATTTGTGTAAGAATATATAGTAACAAGTGGAATTATTAAGAATGCTGTGTGTTCACAGTCGTACTTTGATTCTTGCCATATAGACAAAGTGGTTAAAAAAAAGCAACAACAAAAAACATGTATCTCCAAAACAGTAACTTTACATGAGAAGACAAAATGTTCTTTAGATTTAATTCAATTAATAATTGATTAAATGTAATAGTAATTTTGGAGCATGTCTATTAGTCCATTCATTATAAAGCCTTCACACAAGCACAGCTGCTTTTTTGGGGGTGACGGTGACAATATTTCAGTGTACATTAACATATAAAATGCACATTAATGTAGATATTATGCTAACCTATGCTTAGAAACCACAACGACTGGGTTTTGGTTAGAGGGAAGATGAATCCAGCCACCTGTAAAGTGCTCAGTTTCAGTTTCAGACTGACCCTTGCTGTGGGTAAACTGGCTCTACCGCTGCAGGTCGCGCTCACCCCAGGGCCTCTCTCTCACACTCCTGTCCGTTTGTAAGCCCCTCTGACCGGACTAGAATGTCACTGTGGATCATGTGGCTAGTGGAGCTTATTACTGCCAGCAAAGACTTGGCAGTAATGCTTAATCTAGACCTGTTGCTATTAATACTGCCTCCACAGCTCAGTTCAGCTGCTGCAGAGCGCTTGCGTTTGGCCTGGTTCAGTGACGCCTTCTGGAGGAGGCCAGAATAGCCCTGCAGCAGCGTTCAAGCTTTGTCTGGAGGCTAAAATGAGTTTCATAACTTTCATATATAGTATCATGACGTCAGTCGTGAGCTTGTTTTGTCTATGTTGGTCCCAGCTGAGTGTCACAATAATATGTCTTTCGTTAAAATAATAATTAATAATAATAAATAACAATAATAATTACAACAATAACAGCAACAACAACAATAATAATAATAATAATAATAATAAAACTTTTCCTGAAGGTTCAGACCCTTGTGTCAATTTACACTGAACTTTACTAACCTTTAGCCTGAACATGACTCATGGGTTCATCCAAAGTTGAGGCTGTGTGAGTTCAGTTCTTTCATGCCTGTTATACGACATATGAACTTGAACTTGGACACTTGAAATTTACCTTCACTTATATATATATTCCAAGTAATTTGGACTTTTCAAATTATGAAAAAAAAAATCAGGTGAGCTGTTGATGGAATTTATGAAATCTGCTCAAAGGCTGGAGAGCAGAGACAAATCAGGAACTGAAACTGTGTTCTTCTAACTATTTTGCAATCAAGACATTACTAGCTTCTATATTTATTAATTTCATTATGCTGTTGAGTTAAATAATTTATTGTGACATTTGCCTGCAAAATGCAATTATTATCTCACCCTGATCCACAGTAGCTGACTGGACGTCTAAGTGGTGAGGATGGCGAGCACTTTCACTCGAATGCTGTCAGGCCGCAACGCAGCTGTGCTCATGGCCAGCCTCGGGGCAGGCACCCTGGGGGCTGGTTACCTGATGAGCGAGGCTGGCGTGTCTGCTGCCGAGAGGAAGAAGCTCTATCCCCCCAGGTGAGAGACAGAATCATAACTGCTGATTTGTAAGTCTTATAAAGACCAAAACTGTCAATGTTTAGATTAGATGGTTATTCACAGCTTGAGATAAACATGGTTAACTGAAAACAGATTCTGAAAGACTCTTTCTGCACTGCTCCAACATACTTACAGGACTGTCCTTATGAGTCAATCACTAAAACTGTTAGTGTACAATACCAAGTTTTCACTGAAGTCTGACGAGCACCATGTGATTGTGAAAAGGCCGGTTCATGTATCCTAAGGAGCTCTCGCACGCTTGGCTCAGGACCCAAAGTGCTCTAAATCAGGTCCAGAGACAGAGCGTCACACTCTACTCTACTGTCTGTGCCAGATTCACATGCAAAGTAATATGATCTGATTTGTGGAATCCTGAAACTAGACATACTGTACGCTCCAGTGCATGTAATACTAGATGTCTGTGATAAAATGAAATCTAGTGGTCCAACAAAACGTATTCCATGCTGAGTAATTTGTGGAAACAATCAAAACAAAATCTTGTAACTTTGAAAAAAGTATTTGGCCATATTGTGTAAATGTATAACTACATACAAACCAATGGAAATGGCCCTAAATTATCTGCAATAAAGGACTGCTGTACATATCTCTCTGTTTTTTCCTATAATGTTAATTCAGAGATACAAGATTTTGTTACAAAAGCAGCTTTATGACATATTTAATATTGTGTAGTGGGTAACTGCTGCCCTCATACAGCAGACTGGGGTTTGACTCCCTGATCAGGCGAACCCGGCACGCTATACCAGTACAAGCCCTTGGACAAGAACCCCAATGCTGCTTATGCCTACCTCTGTAACATAATTATCCGGAGTATCTGCTTTTGCATTTCACTATCATGTTTTCCCTCAATCTCTTATAGCGCTGACT